TCCTCAAAATGCTTAAAATCTAATTGCAGTGAGGGCAATACCCAAACATAATAAAAATTACCTAGCAATGTAAGATATTAATGGCAAAGTGATGGCATAAGGCAATATAAGATTTACTGCCATGAATGATGCAAAAATTGCACTCATTTTGATTCTTAAATCTAAGAAGGGATAAAGTAAGGGAGTTATGTGGCTGTACCAGCCTCTTGTAAGATAGATACCCTGTTCTATTTCTTAAAGGAAGAACAGAATTTAGACAAGCATGACCCTATATAGAAGTGATTCCCATTGCAGGAAACAATTTTAGCAAATGCTCAGGGCAGAAACGGGTGCAGTGTTTAGAAAAGAATGACTTCATTGAGTAAACCTAGTAGAAATAAGCATGATGAATGTCTGAATTGTAGAGTGGTTAGGCATCCAATAAATTGTTTTAGTTTGAATTACTGATTCCCTCCAACTTAGCTATATGACCTGGCTGTGCAGATCTGTGAGAGTGACTGAATGCAAGTGTTTGTGATTGCCAAATCCAGTATTTAATTCCAAAAGCCTATATGACTTTAAAGTCTATGATTTTCTTTTTTCCTTTCTCTCAAAAAAAAAAAAAAAAAAAAAACCCTTAAAAATCATTAAGATAAATTAATCTGGGGAAAAGCTGAGGAATAAAGAGAAATCTGGTATTCAGTTAATGCAATCATCTAACAAATATTTATTCAGCATGTACTATGTACTTGGCATTGTTCCTGATGCTGATGATATAGAGACTTGAACAAAACAAACTGAAATTGTTGTTTCTGTGGAGTTTACAAGCTCATATGTGCATGTATAGTAGTGATGGTGATAGTGGTGAGAGAGGGATATTATATCTGAGTGGTTCTCATTAATTACAAATTTCTTTTAATTGGGCTCAATTCCTGGAATTTCTTAACATATTTTTACTGAAAGCAAGTTTGAAGTCTTACCCCTATACAGTGGCCTCAACTTTATCAGTTATGAATTAAATTGATTGAGTATTTATTATATTCTGAGACTCTTTTACACTACTTACAACCCTTGGCTTACATAATTCTTCTTATTATTATATTATTATTATTGAACTTCAGGTAGATCAAAAATTTTTTGTGCAAAAAAGTTTCTATGCAATCAGTGGGAAAGATTGACCCAGACATAGTTCTTTTAGAATCCCAAATCCTTTAAAATCATTTTGATACACTCTTTTTCTGAAAAGTTCTTATATTTACTATTAAGGAATTTCAAAAATAGAAGAGAATTCTTGAATCTATGAGGTAGGTGGCAGGATATAGTAGAATGAGAAGGAAGGCAGTAAACTAGTTCAAGAGGTCTAAGCCCTACATTAGGTATGCTTCTGATACACTGTGGAAAAGAGGTACTGGCCATTTCCTTTCTCTATCTTAACTTTCTTATCTGTGAAATGGATCTTTGCCATTCATATTCATATTTCAGAGACTGTGGGTTTGTGAGTATATATGTATGTTTACAGCAGCAGGATAAAAGGGGGAAATAACGAGATGAGGAACATAAAGCTACTTAGAAAGTCACAAGGTATCACCTGGATGTGAGTTATTATCAATATCATTACTTTCAAAAATAGAGCCATTTTTAAGGACAAGATGATATAGACATCTGGTACAACAAACTTCTTATATATTTTCTTATCAAAGAGGTACATTTTGTACAACATAAACAATTTGAGATGATGAGTTATTATACATCTTTATAATGATCACATTGCTCCTTTTTCCTTGAGCTGTCTCAGATTAAGTTGTTCTAATCATATTCTTTAAAAATTTAAAAGATAAATTCAAGCACATAGGATATGAATGTTTATTGAACTCAAACTTAAAGCTAACAACAACAACAACAACAACAAATCCACAGACTATAAATAATACCCTTTGTTTAGAAGTTTTCATTTCTTTTCCTTCATTAGAAAACTCTCCTTCCAGACATGGGCGGCAAAAGAACACAACTTCTAAGGAGTTAGACTGTGATGATCACTCAGTCAATTCTCACAGCACTGGCTTTAGCTCCCATTTATTTGTTTTGCCCTATTAATTCACTGTTCAGCCTTGCAAGACCCCACGCCCCATCCACTGCAAACTATTTGCAGCTCTCCAAAGTGTTTTGCTTCTCAGTACTATGTTTTTGCCATTCCCTCTACCTGGCATGTCTTCCTCGCTCTAGGCTGCTTGGCAAAACTCCATTAGCTCTCTCAAGATTCAACTCAAAGGTGACTTCATAGTGAAACCTTTCTTGATCAGCCCGTGTAAAATTGGCCAGTGTTTTGTTTTGTTTTGTTCCTACAATGCCCTGCATAGACTTCCATTACTAGTTCTGTAATATTTCAAACCACTTGCTTGTTTGTATGTCTGTGGCCTTTCCAAGATTGGAAACTTCTTGAAAGCAAGGACTGTTTTCTATCAATCTTAGTTTCCCAGACTCTAGCTCGGTGCATAAATCACAGTTGTCCTTCAAAATTTTTTGATAGATGAATGAATGAATGGTGACCCATGAGTCACATTCTGAGAACTGTCAATTGTATGTGTGTGTATAGTGTGTGTACTATATATACATACACAGTCCATACATACTAGAAATAGAGACATACATACATAGTGTATACCCACAGCACAGGATTAATGCCCGTGTTACATAAAAACACATATGAAATATAATAAAATGTTCCACTTTCAAAAAATTCTTTTGACTATACTATATTATAAATGTCCAGTTAGCAAAACAATCATTGTAAAACAAAAGACTGTGACAATTAAGGCTAATTCTGTGCAGAAAAAAAATAAATAAGAGATGTTTCTATTTATTGAATCTTAACTACCTTAAAAGTTTTGGGTCACTGTAACACCAATCATGTTATATCATGGAAATATAAGAAGCTATACACTATGAAAGGGACTTTACCAGAACCAAGCAAGTAAGTAATTCAAGGCACAAGAGAAATAAAATCAAATACTTTAAAATGTAATATGAAATAAAACAAAAATTAAAAATAAAATTATCAGATAAGATTTCATTGTACCAACTTGATGGAATATCAGACCACAAGTGAAATGTAAACTCTTTTGCAAACCTTGCTATCTCAGAAGGAAAAGATAACCCTAAAGGAAAATGATGAAAGAAGGTGCAAGAACTAATTATTGAAGGGACTTAAGCATATGTAAAGTTGAAGTTCAACAACTCAAAGCAAGGTTTTATGTGTTATATGTGGCAACGTGCATGTTCTGAGCTTCTACTGAAGCTTTTGTATCTCAATACAGACTAGCCAAAGTACTAAGAATTTATTATCTAAAAGTCATCTGAATTAAGATACTATTTGTAAAACTCTTTCATTCCTTTGCTTATGAGTTTAAGTGAGAAAAAATTACAGTACAACCCGTAAAGACCACACTGATAGTAGTCAAGAGTTTAAAAAAAAAAAAAATGGATTTCCCAAAACCCATATTAAAGGAACTTTGGACTCAGGTTTTCCTGTACTTCTGGAATATGGCAATGGACTATCAAAACAAATGTTATCTCTTAATCTAAAATATGTATGAAGACTTCTCCGGGGGAGGGTGGGGAACCACTTTTCTCTTTCAAAAAAGATGAGAAAAAGATGAGGAGGGAAAACATTTACAATTCATTGAGCTTACAAAACAGTGTATGCCGTACCCCATGCTAGGCATAGGAGTTGATGATGGAGAGATCCAAGCTGACATTTGAGCACGTTCTAGGTTTTTAAATATCTCTTTCCATCTTTTTTACTATATCCATCATATGTACGGGAAAAAATTGATTGCTGAAGTTAATCTTAAAAGTAGGAAAAAGTAAATTCTGCAGAACTCTGCAAAATCACCCACAGAATGTTTCCAGGCTATAGTTGTAAAAGAATTGGTCATCAAAACACAAATACTACCTGTTTGAAATTCAAATAGAAAACAAAAAGGCTTACAAAAGAGTGAGCAACAGGGAGCTCTTTGATAAAACTTGTAAACACAGAAAACAAAACTTTCGTGCCCAGACACATTAAAATACTGCTCCAGTAAAAAGAGGGAAACACTTTACATTGACATTTTTTTTAAAGATTCTTGTTTTAGGTATTAAGTCGTAACTTCCCTTATTTATTTATTTATTTTCCCTGAAAGGCAATCAACTTTCCTTTTGGGCTTCCTTCAATAAGATATACAAGTTCACAAAGCTAACAGAGGATGTAATTCACTTAAATTATGCAACAGGAATTCCACAGCTGGCCTGTCTGACTCAGTGCTGAATGAACAGTGTCAGAAAACCTCTCCAACAATAATGCCGTCCTTCCTGACAAGGGGTAAATCTCCGAAACTTAGGCTCAACTTTGGAGGCTCATTATCTACCGCAAGTGAATGTCAGCGGGGTGACAACACTGGGGCAGGGGCGCCCACGCACCCAAGCAACCAGCCCACCCAGAGACGAGGATCCGAACAATCAGTACCACCAACTTCCAATGATAACAATTTGTTTATATGAACAGGATGGTCAGATATCCCACAGATCATATTCTAATGCCATAATAGCCACTAAATTTAATCCCCAGCGCTTACTCAATTAAGCTGCACGAGCACAGGCAGCTCACAGCACTTTTTCAGAGAAAGACTTTAATCTTAATTTAAATCATGCTGTATAATAGCTTTTTTTAACCTTCGCTGATTTCTTGGTTCTGGCCTACCTAAGTAATTGTCATCTTTTCCTCCCCCAACTCCACCCCCCAAGTGTGAGCGTGAACCTGAATTACAAATAGTTAAACCTGAAGGTCACTTCCCAGCAGCGTTCCAACATGCTCCCCCAGCGAGGCTGCTCGGCAACAATAAAACAAAGCCCTTGCAACCACCTGTAATAATCTGCCTGCTCAGCCAGCAATCCGAAAAGTCCTGAAGCTACACAAGGTAGACATTTTCTGCAGCTGGTTTAACATGTATATTGTGCCCAGTTGCCGGCTCGCCTCCTCTTACCTTCACGTTAGTCCGGAGTGCACAGTAACATGCAAAGAACATTGCAGTAAATAAGGAGCATATGGACCGGTATTCAGCTTCTCAGCACAGCGCAAGCCCCACACACACGATCCTGGGCATGTGCTACTAAGGAGCATCCGTTCCCTCTGTCAGTTTGAAAATGCATTGATCTCTGTTTTCTCTGACTACAAAACGACATGTCTTGAAGGCACTGAGTGAGAGCTCAAAATCTCTTCATTGGCTATATATAGCATTGTGCCCAGTAATTTCAATTAGCTGAGAATTCAGCATCTGAAAGTTAAGACTTCAGTTGCTTTTCCTTCTAGCATTTTAAATCACTGGGTTTAAAAAAAAAAAAAAAAAAAAAAAACGGGAGGGGGGAATGAGCTCACTCAGGAAGGAGGGGGGGAAAGGTGAAGAATGAAATTTAACCAATGAGTTACTTATATTTCTGGAGAGCCCCAGTATTATCCTATTAGATACTTTACAATGGGACTGCACCGGGCAGACTCTAAATGAAGAGGAAACCCCTTTCCCTTTGGAGGTTTAATATGGGCTCTGAACTAGATTTCAGGCTATTCTGATGCAGCACCCTGTTTGGCAAATCCTACAAATCACTGCAAACACATCTCAGTCTGCTTTTTCGTGTGGAACAGGACCAAGACCAAAGGATCCCTGTCTCCTCAAGTCCCCTAAAATGTAAGCGGGGTTCCCCTAGGGTGATCTGTGGATACATGCCTGAGAAATACCACCTTCTCTTACTTCCGTGTCCTGTAAGATCTGTTACATCTTCCAGGGATGGCTAAAGTTGCCAGGTTTGCCAACAAAACACTGCATCTATTTTTTTTCCCCAAAACTAAGCTTTATTGGTAAATTACAATCAATAATAGAGGATGGGATTGAAATGAAGATAGAAGATTCCAGGGGATAACATAACCGTAGATTCAGTAGCTACTGCTGATGAATGTAACATGTTCAGCTGGCTCTGTAAGGATAAGAGCAAGAGAGAAAAATAAAAGCTTCTGCCCCCATGAATCCATAAGGGGGAAAAAAAAAACTTAATTCAAGAACATCGTCAGATCCTACTGTCTGTTGTCATTCCAGTCAGGCACCCGATGCTGCAAATTAACTCAATTTTTACTGAGCCAAAAGGACAAAGTCCAATTTAAGGTTCTAAACTCTTATTTCCAGCCTAATTCTCAGCTAGAATTCTGAAGCTATCTGGCGAAATGCAAGCAGAAAGGAACAGTTCTCACTGCAGCAAAAATAGTGGGAGGAAAAAGAGTGGTTATGTCTTTGCCACGACGTTCCCCCATCAGCTTACAGCAACAGGGAAGATCAGCATAACTCACTAGAAAAAGCTGCAGTGACTTTTATGATTTTTCTTTAACATGTTTTGCATAAGGCCCCTCCCCTCCGGAGCCCGCAGTGGTGCTGAGGCACCGTCAGAGGCACTGGGCATTTCTCCTGGGCGATGAGGTGAGGCAGCTTCAGCAGCAGCAAGGTATTTAAGCAAGAGAAATTAAAGGAAGAAGCAAATCAGGATTTTCTATTTCTCTCTTAATGACAAGCATTCAGAAAGTGTCGTCAGTTCTGACTAAATAGCTATTTTGGGCTGTCATTGTTTGTGCCTTTTTTTAGGAAGGAAAAAAGGCAATCTTGTCTTAAGCTGGAGATTCTCTAGCATCGTAAGAGAAGGCAGCTCCTTAATTTGATTCCCAGTTCCGTCTGTCATATGAGCCTAAGTAATTACAAATTGTGAGCACTTGCAACACAACCAGGGACTTCCAGGACATTCAAACAACAACATGGAGGGCCAACTCTCATCATTCCACAACTTTTGTAATGGCTTTAAGTGCAAAACCAAACATTTCAGTTCATAACACTTTCCTCTCCTGAGGTCACAGCAGGTCACATTTCCTGCAGCACTTCCTGATAAACAAACCCAAACATAGCAACTCAATGCTACAGAAAACACGGAATTTTAAAATGCATCTCTCCCTGGGGGGTTCAGAAGATTTTTGAAAACCATTTTTTCAACTTGTCAATAAGTAATGCTAGTTTATGTTTCTGTTTTTGTTTTTTTCATTAGGGATCGTGGTTGGGGGGAAGGAACTTTGTAGCTTTTTAAAAAAAAATTATTATCTTAATAGACCTTAGGGTATTTGGATGGTCCAGGAGAGATAGAAAAGAGCTGGGAAATGTTACAAATCTCAAAACAGTTCATAGGGAAGGATTAAGTAAAAATGAAGTTACAGGTGAAAAAGCACATGGAGATTTCCCTGCCAAGGCATTCAGGGAGGCTTCTGACTAGAATTTCAGATACAGGGCGCCTGGGTGGCTCAGGGGGTTAAATAAAGCCTCTGCCTTCGCCTCAGGTCATGATCCCAGGGGGAGATTTCTTCCCACCCCCACCCCCGCCCTGCCTGCCTTTCTGCTTATTTGTGATCTCTGTCTGTCAAATAATACATAAAAACTTTTTTTTTTTAAAGAGAATGTATGTACATTCTAAAGAAAGGCTCTTAGACTTGCAGATCTGCTTAAAACTCCCACCTACGCTTACCCATCCCACAGCATCCCAGTATGGAATGGACCTGGGCCATACCCGTAGATTTACTGCTTAAATTTCCTAACCGTACTAGGATAGCTGACTTATTTTTCTCATTTTACAGATACAAGAAAAGCACTAACTACAATGACAACGTCCCACTGAAAAGTGTTTCCTGTTTTTAGGTAGAGTTCAACAGGACAATGTACCTGCTGAAAGAGTAACATTTGCTATTGCAGAAGGAAACAATAACTGGCTATATATTTATGAGACGGCACAGTAAGTTTAGGCTCCAATCCTCATGAGCCAGGAATCCTCGAAAATTCCTTCCACTTCGGGTCCTCTCTTTTACCATTTATAAAACTGCAGTGTCTAAAATGGGGATCATACTTAATTCATAGTGTCACTGAGAAGATTCAAGATGAATCCCATCATCAGAATAGTCTGGATAGATCAAAATTTAAGTATAAAAATTGAAGTAATAAACATATTAGAAGAAAACAGATTTAGTTTTGGCTTTATATAATAGCAAAGTAGAGAAATCTGAAGCCTTATAAGAAAAATAAACAACTGTGACTATATAAAAATATAAAAATTCTGCTTGGCTAAATTGTAACAATGGCAAAAGGCAAAAGGGGAAAACAATGCAATATATTCAATGGAATATTTCCTTAAGATACAAAGCATGTTCATAAGTCACTAAGAAAAAAATATGAACATGAATGAAAAAAATAAGTAAAGAACATAAAGTGGTAATTCACAAAAAGACCATAAACACATTTAAAATGCTTTACCTCCTTCATACTTAGGGAAAAGCATACAAATTAGAAAAGATTTTTAAAATTGATATATCAAGTATTAATGGTGAAAACTTTGGGAAAGGTATTTAATCTATCAAATATTTTAAAAGACACATTCTCTTTGATGTATTGATTCAACTTCAACTTCCAGGAATTAATCCCAGACAGATGTAGATATATATAGAGAGAGAGATACAAACACACACACACACATATATACAGGCTTAGGAAGGGAAATCAGATATTACCTTTAATTTTTCCTTTTATGTCTTCTATATACTACAGTGGCCTCACCCACAATGAACTATTTATCCAATATCCTCTCTCGGTAAATGAGAAAAATAAAGATACAGGAAGGGACCTGTGAGGGGCTCTGCCTTTTATTGCAAAAATGAGCACTGGTTAGAGATGATCATGACACAAGGGATAGAAATGTACCGATTCTTAAGTGATGTTAGCTCCCGAGTACCTGCTACAGCGTGACATTGTCCTAGAATGCATGTAATTCTAGAGTGTAATATATTGTTCTTAAAGCATGGCCTTTAACACAAGCCAGCAACTTTATTTCTTAAATTAAAAAGTGGCTATCAAGTAAACTTGATTTTAGCCAATTTTTACTGTAAGCACTGAATTTAGAACCTGACACCTATACACAGTCTGCATCTCTTTCTCTCTCTCTCTTTTTCTTTACAATGAACACTGCTGCAGCTTGAATGTTTGTGTTCCCCCAAAATCCCTATGTTGAAAACTAATCCCCAATGTAATGGTATTTGGAGGTGAGGCCTTTGGGAGATAGTTAGGTCCTCAGGTATGTGATTAGTGTCCTTACAAAAGAAGGCCCAGGCAGCTCCCTTGCCCCTTCCACCATATGAGGACACAGTAAAAAGGCAGATATCTATGATCAGAAAGTCAACTCTCACCAGATCTGTGGGCATCCTGATCTTGAACCTCCAGCCTCCAGAACTGTGAGAAATAAACTTCTATTGTTTATAAGCCAGTCAGTTTACAGTATTTTGTTATAGCAGCCCAAATGGACTAAGACAAGCATGTAACACTTTTTGATTATAACCTAGTTTCTGTAAATTTTTTTAATATTAAAGCAGTTTGCAATTATAACTTGTTAATAATAATGACAGCAACAACGTCTGTTAATATGGACAAATAATTCATATATCTGGACAAAATTCTCAATTATAAAATAAGGAGGTTGTACTATCTAATTCTTTCTTAAAGGCAGAGTAACTTTGGTAGGTTTTCTTGGTTTTGTTTTATTTAATTAGGACAGATAAGATGTGTTTAAATGTTAAGGACCCACTAGATTGTATTCCAGACCAATTAAATCAGAATATCTGGAGATGGAATCAAGGCATCAGAATTTTATAAAGATCCTCAGGTGGTTATAATGTGCAGCTAGGATACAGAATTACTTATAGCAGGGTCAGCTGCTGATTCTATAAAGGGCCAGATAGGGAATATTTTATACATGCAAGCCGTACAATCATTGTTATAACTACTAATTCTATTACAACTACTCAACTTTGGTGCTGTAGTGAAAGAACAGCCATAGACATTATATAGTGTGTTCCAATAAAACTTTATTAATAAACATTAAAACCTGAATTTCATATAATGTTCACATGGTAGAAATATTGTTCTTCTTTTGACATCTTTCAAATATTTAAACATGTAAAAACATTTTTTAGCTTGTCTTTTGCGTATCCCTACTCTGGAATCTCAAGCAGTGGTTCTCAAACTGTAGTTCTTCAGTTAACAGCATCAGCATAAGCTGGGAATTTGTTAGAAAGCAAAATTTCAGGTCATACCCCAGACCTACCAAACAGACAGAGCTCAAGAATCTCTGTAAGCAAGAACCCCATGTGACTGTCACGTAAGTTAAGGTTTGAAAACTGCTGCTTTAAAGCAAGAGAAGAAACTGAGAGCTAAGTTTCCCACAAAAGCAGGAAGACATAGACTCCAGAGTATAGA